AAAAAACCTTTCGAACAATTCTTTTTCACTAATAGCTCGATGATCACTAAATATTTTTTTGATATTGCCCGTGAACTGGTAATCAATATCAGTATTCAGTTAGTAATGTGTGTCTGGGTCAATTTAACTGTATCTAACCGTAAACTTCACTTTGCCAACAGAAAACCCCAACTTACATCCTTAAATCGTCAACAAACCTTACAACGCTAACCCTATTCTAAAAAAACTGATCCGAACCTGAACACTGACCATTATTCTGGACTTCAAATCCCAGGACTTACCTTGACTAGCTTAGCCTAACGATAATGCTTATCCTACCTTTGGAACCCTAAAAAAACTCACAACCTATAATCCTTTCTCATTCCCCTAATGGTAAAATCTTGCAAATAACATTCATCGTAGGGTCACCAACTAGAATCAGCGTTACAATTGCGTTAACGTTAACGAAATATAGCTGCCTTAATAAAATAATTAAGCTGGTTTCAAGGCAGTTACTAGGCGAGACTACTTTTATTGTCATTGCCCAATTAAGATCGGGGTTAAGTTGAGAGTAAGACTTAATATTTTGTTTAGGGTTGCGGCTGTGTTTAGTTTAAGAAAATACGTATGTTATGTCCTACCTTTAATTCTCTGAAGACTAAAACGCTTGTCACTGTGAATTTACTTTGTAATATTCAGGCACAGTGCTCATAAAATACTTTTTAGATCGGCGACTTTGGAGACTGTCGAAGGAAAGGTTCCCGCTATCCTGGTGGAGAGATGTCTGTAAGGTGGTCGGCACCAGAGGTTTTGACGAGCAGCGAAAACTACAGCACGAAATCTGACATCTGGGCCTATGGTATAGTCCTCTGGGAGGTATACAGTCTCGGGCACGTACCCTTTTTTGATATACCCAATACCAAGCTGAGCGAAGCCCTGGAGAAAGCCTTCCGTGAGGGCAGGTGTCCACTTCAGTTCCCCGATTATACTCCCAAAGCCGTCCAGCGGATAGGCCGTTTGTGTCTTCAGAAAGACCCAGCCAATCGTCCCACTTGCGACAATATTATTCAAAAGTTGCAGAGGAAGCTGACGCCTTCTTCTTCTTCTCCTCGATCTCTGTCTGCGAACTGCTCATCAACTTCTCCCAACAGCCACTTAAACGGTAAACCTCGATCGATCTATCCTGCTCCTGCTCCTCCCCTTTTCCCAGCAGTTAGTGGATTAGTTTTTTAGGCCATCCACTCTCAGGTATGATCACTTTGGCTGAATTTATAGATGCAGACAGTGTTTTGTCACTGCGGACCTCATTATGTTACTGATTAAGTTATTTGATAGAAAAGATTCTTTGGGAAACGTAAACAAACTGTATTGTTAATCTCCGACGCTGGCACATCAGGTCTTCGTCGGACGTGAGGGAGATGTGTACAGAACAGGGCGCATTTTTTTAAACATTCACACATTTCCCTCATGTCCGACGATGACCTGGTGTGCCAGCGTCGAAAATTTACAATACAGTTCGTTTACGTTTCCCAAGGAATCTCTTCTATCAAATTATATTTAAAACTGATTCAGTTATTTCATGGAAATAAAATTTTGTGATATTTACATTGTACCTGTTTTTCCAATTGACGCAGTACTTTGAGCGTTGAAAATCTGACTGACAAGGTCGCGAGTTTGAGTCTCGAGTTTCAGTACACCTGGGATTAGTTATGGCTGGCTGATGACGGTTAATATGCCTGAAATAGTCATTACAGTCTCCATTGCCTTTATTGGTAATGCATTTCTTGCTATAACATATAGGAAATTGAGCAAGATATTCCTAGCATACTAGTCGTCATCAGCTAGTCACTTCCAATTCAAGGGCTTGTGATACTCGAGGCTCAAACCGGCGACCTTGTTGGTTAGAATTCCAGCGCTCTAACTACCGAGCCACGGGCCCGTCATTCTGCCTATATCATTAGCCACTGTGCGACTGCTAGCGAAACTCGAGAGAGGCGTAAGGCAGAAGGAGACGATTGAGTCCTGTAATCGATCAATGAGCAGCTATTTGACATTAAGGAGAACGGAATGGCCTGACTGGCTGATGACGGATAATGAGCCAGAAATGGCCATTCCGGTCTCCCTTTTGCCTTGTCGGATCCACTCCATCAAATATCTGAGGTCGCTAAGCGACAGCCTGATATCACTCAAGTACGAGCATCAAGGTACTTCCGGGACAAGTACATGCCCTAACCAGATAGATCGGTTGAACACCCCAGTTCCATCATATTCACGATTATAACCGACAAAGCCAGGAACCCGTGGACTAAAGGTAAAGTATTTAGGTCAATGACCAATGGTTCCGGGTTCAAATCTCGGGGCTTGCAACCCTTGCAATTGTGTATGACTGGCTGATGATGGCTAATAAGCCAGAAATGACCATTCTGGTCTCCCTTTGCTTTGTTGGATCCACTCCCGATGTATATATACATATATGGAACAAAGGTGCTCGTCCGATCTATCTGGTTAGGGCACATACTTGTCCC